CTACAAGTATGAACTAAGGCCAGGACTGTGCTCCCACCCTTGTGGGGAGGGGTGAGGAACTGCCTGAGCTCAGGCTGCCTGCCAGGACTGATAAGGGGCCCTCCTGGGGCTCCCACAAACGGTTTATCGGGGGGGGGGGGCAGCCTGCAGGGTTCCGGAGGGGCACAAGCATGGAGCGGCTTTGGGGTCTACTCCAGAGAGCGGTAAGATCAGTGGGGCTAGGGGACACCGTAGGCTTTCTCTCTAGGTCCCTCAAACCCCTCCTCAAACCCTAAGGCTGACCCTTCCTGGTCAGAGTCCTAGCCCCTCCCCTTCTCACTTCTGCCTTTCCCCTCCTGCCTGCTTCTCCCTCACCCCATCACCTTTCCCCCCAACACTCATTTTGCACCCCAAAGTCACTGACCCCATTATTGCCAGATCTCTCTCCATCCTCCAATTCTCTTCTCCCAGTCTCATGCCCACCCTGCCCCCCACAGCAACAGCTGTCCCCACGACCCTCTCAGACCATCTACAAGCGTGTGGAAGGCACCCAGCAGGGGCGCCTGGAGGAGGAAGAGGAAGACTGGGAGGAGGGGGCCGAACCCCCAGCCCACTTCTGCCCCATGGAGCTGAAAGGTCCTGAGTCCCTGGGCTCTAGACCAGGCCAGCAAAATGTCATACCCTGGGCAGCAGCAGGACGAAGGGCTGCCCCCTACTTGGTCCTGATGGCTCTACTGATCTTCACTGGGGGTGAGAGGCACTTCCCCCGCAGAGAAGGGCCTGGCTGGGGGAGATTTCCGAGTCCAGAAGGGACCACAGGGGAATCTCCATCTTGCCACCCTCTAGCCTTCCTTCTGGGATATGTGGCCTTCCGAGGGTCCTGTCAGGCATGTGGGGACTCCGTGTTGGTGGTCAATGAGGACACCAACGATGAGCCGGGCCTGGACTCCCACAAGGGCACGTTGTACTGGACGGACCTCCAGGCCATGTTCCTGCGGTTCCTGGGGGAGGGGTGCCTGGAAGACATTATCAGGTAAGGATTACCTTGCCCCTGCCTGGCCCTCAAATGTCCTTCCCTCCCTTGCTCAGACTGGGACACCTTCTTCCCGCTCACGCAGGACCCTGATGTCTGGATCCGCCTCCTGAGCCCTTCCACCTGCATCCCTGTGCTCCCTGATCAGCAGCTCTGGGTCAGGTGGCAGTAACCAGAGCTGAGACTCCAGGGACGCAGGTTGTGAGGTGGCCTATGTGGGAGATGAGTGGACTAGCTGCCTGAGAACAGAGGTGTCAGGCGTTGACACAAGGCAGGCCAATCTTTCTCTGAAAAACAATCAGAAAAGTCTTGAATGCTATGCTCAGAAGCCTGAATTTGCCCTGTGGCAGTGGGAAGCTCTGAAAAGGGGTGTTTTAGAGAATCAGGAAATCAAGCAAGCAAATGTAATGTGTGCACAGACTCCTACAAGTGCCAGCTACAGGCCCGTGCCCTGCCATTATCGCCTTTCCTGGTTTGGAAGGAACTGCTCAGAGAGGTCCAGAGAAGTCAGGTCACCCATCACCTTAGTTTGGGTCGGAAATAGGAGTACTTTTTCAGTGAGTGCTCCTGGGTTTTCTAAGTAGATGATTATTTCTAATGCTTATTTATGTTTTATTTATTTATTTATTTATTTATTTATTTATTTATTTATATTTATTTTTCACTCCCTAGAATATTAGAGAGGACGTGAATTTAGGTAGCCTTCCCTATTTACTGACTTAAATAGTAGCATCTTATAATACTCTGTCATTGAGCATGATCTTTGCTGCAGGTTTTGTTGTTTTAGAGATGTGTCTTGTTCCTGAGGCTAGACTTGAACCCAAGGTTTTCCTGCCTCACCCTCCCTAGGTGCTGGGATTACTTGCACATGCCACTGTGCCTAGTTACTGCAGTTTTTGTTTTGTTTTGTTTTGTTTTGTCTTGTTTTTAAACGGGTTTTTGTCATAGGGCACATGCATTTGCTAGAGACAAAAAGTGAAAAATCAACCCTAGGGGTGATGACCATGCCACAATCTCTTCTCCATTCTCCTCCTGGGATTTTGGGCATGCACACACATGTACATGGGCCTGGTGTGATTTTCAACCCCGGCTGACCATATGGGAATCCAGTGCCTTAACCACCATGGCGCCTCCTACTACTGCAGCTTTTAAAAACTGAATTAGAGGACTAGCTCAGTAGTATAGCCATTATGAGCTACACAGAAGCAAGATCTTTTTTTTTTGTTTTTTGGAGAGGTTTTTCGCTAAAGGGCACGTGCGCTTGCCAGAGGTTTTTGCTATAGGGCACGTGCTCTCGCCTGAGAGACAGAGAGAGACATAGAGACAGAAAGCGAGAAATCACCCCCCAGGGGGGTGGCCACGCCACAATCCCTTCTCTTCCATTCTCCTCTCAGGATCTTGGGCATGCACGCACACGTGCCTGGCATGAGTTTTAAGCCACTGGGTACGGGACGCAAACTGCGGTTGATTACATGGGAGTCCAGCGACATAGCCATTACGCTAACTGCTGGTCCCGAAGCAAGATCTTATATTTGGTGACTGAGGTTCCAATCCCCAGCCCAGACAGGCTGAAACATGCTGGGTAGTTGCTTCAGTGCCCAAGATCCAATGGGCTGGAGAACTGGAGGAAAGCAATTACAGCTAGACTAGTCTCAGAGCGCTCAGCTCCCTCTTTTCCATCCTCACATACACTCATGCACTTTATCATGAATACAGAAAACATCTGAATCAGGGAAGTTTCCTTCTATTTCTAGCCCACTGAGACTTTTTATGGTCAGGAAAGGAAGAAAAAATATGGAACTTTTTTTTCAAATATTTTTCCAGAATGTACTGAGCTAACCACACAGTTTTTCTTCTTTAATGTTCACGTAGTAATTTGTATGAATAGATTTCCTTGTCTTCAGGAGTTCAATGTTAAACTTAGTCAATGTGTGTTATTACTCTTTTAACACACTGCTGGAAACTTGATCAAAGTGTCTTTTTTCTATGCTGAAAGACCTCAAATCAAATCTGTCATCAACATTGGGGCTTTTTATTTTCTTGAGCAGTACTTGGTCATCATCTGGGTACAGCAGGCTAAGTAAGTGGGTGCTTTTTTTTTTTTTAGAGATATTTTTGCTATAGGGCACGTGCATTCATCAGAGAGACACCCCAGAGGGGATGACCATGCCGCAATCCCTTCTCCCTTCTCCTTTCGGGATCTTAGGCATACAGTGTGAGTTTCAAGTAGCCAGGTGCAGGACCCGAACCAGTCATGGGAGTCCACAGACGTAACCATTACACCATCTGCTGGTTCCAGCAGGTGAATGCTTTGACAGGTTATTGTCACAGGGCAGGGAGGAGAGAGGAAAGTGCTTGGGGTGGTTGGGGATTGAGGGTAAAGCAATGAGCTGACCCATGGCTTCTAGGGTGAATGAGGAGGGAAGGGAAACCAAGAAGGAACTGATAGATTAGAGAAACTGGTCAACCTGGAGTTCTCAGCGGAGTTGAACATAGCAAATACAGTGAGGACAAGGGAGCAAATTGGAACCCTGAAAAGGCCTGGTTAGAAAGTGGGCTTCGGGAACCTTGTACATAGTGAGTATTCAGTAACTCTTCAATGGCTAACTATTCCAAAGGTTGAGATCCGGATAGCAACAAGATCCAGTGTGTGGTCAGGGAAGTGGGTGGCTGGATTAGAGGTGACATAGATGAGGTCATTCATTCTTTCATTTACCCAACAAATAATTTTGAGCACCTACTATGTGACAAATACTAAGCTAAGCAACTGGTAGTGATCTAGCAGAGACCCAAACAGACCAGAATACAGCACATCTGGGGGCCTGAAGTCAGAAGGTGGTGGCCTATTGGAAGAAGGGGAAGATGGTCAATGTGGCTGTTGAAGTCAACAAGCCTCAGGCCCTAAAGGGCCTTACTGGTTTACTGCTTTGGGTTTCATTCTAAGAAGAAAGAGAACAAAAGAGTTTCGAACAATAGAGTATCAAGATCAAATGTGGAAGGGAGGGGTTGTTTGTTTGTTTGTTTGAGAAAGTTTTGCTACTGAGTGCATGTGCTTGCTGGAGAGACAGAGAGACAGAAAGTGAGAAATCACCCCCCAGGAGATGGCCACACTGCAATCCCTTCTCCTCTATTCTCCTCTCAGGATTTTGGGCATGCATGTAAATGCATTTAGCATGAGTTTCAAGCTGCCGGGTCTGGGACTTGAACCACAGTTAACCATGTGGGAATCTAGCACCTTAATCACTAATATACCTGCTGGCCCCAGGGGAGGGATTTTTTTAAAGCTTGAGTGCAAAGAAGGGATTGATCATACCACTGAGACCATAGTTCTGTGTCCTCATTTGTTGGCAAAAGGACCTTCCTACTTTCCCTTTCTCATCTCTGAGTGCCTCTCCCTTCCCCCATGAGTACCTTGTCTAGTCTATCGTGTTTGATATATTCTTTAAATATGCATTGGCTTTGACATCTATATGATGTTTTATATGTATATGTAACTTTAAAAAAATTATTTATTTAATATTATTTATCCATTCATTTATTTTAATTTAACTAGAAAGAGAGAGGGAAAGTGGGAAAGCAAGCTACGTGGCAGTCCAGGTCTGGGACTCAAATCATGGTCAGCCACATGGGAGTGTCCAGCACCCTAACCACCAAGCCACCTGCTGGTCCTCGTATAGGTAATTGGTTTTTTTTGTTTGTTTTTTGTTTTTGAGAGTTTTTTTGCTATAGGGCCGGTGTGCTCACCAGAAAGAGAGAGACAGACAGAAAAAGAGAAATCACCCCCCGGGGGTATGGCCACGCCACAGTCCCTTCTCCTCCATTCTCCTCTTGGGATCTTGGACATGCATGCACATATGCCGGTGTGAGTTTCTCTCTCTCTCTCTCTCTCTCTCTTTTTTTTTTTTTTTTTTTGAGAGATTTTTGCTATAGGGCATGTGCACTCACCAGAAAGACAGAGAGAGACAGAGAAACAGAAAGCAAGAAATCACTTCCCAGGGGGGATAGCCACACTGCATTCCCTTCTCCTTCATTCTCCTCTCAGTATCCTGGGCACGCAGGCACATGTGCCCAGCATGAGTTTAAGCCACCGGGTCTGGGACTTGAACCACAGTCAACTACATAGAAGTCCAGCAATGTAAACATGACGCCATCTGCGGGTCCCAAGATTATTACTCTTACACAGAGAACTCAGAGAGACCCTTTACTCCTTTCACTATGTGAGGACCCAGCAGAAGGGCAGCCGTCTATGAACCAGGACACCAGCCGTCATCAGAGTTGCTGGCACCTTGATCTGAGACTGCCCAGCCTCAAAGACTGTGAGAAATAAATTCCTGGTTTAAGCTATCCAATTTATGGTATTTTGTTATATCAGCCCAAACCAACTAAAAGTGCTCATTCATTTCAACTGTCGACTGCTCAAAATCATGCCACATTTTAGTGTGCTTTCTTCCTGATCCATGACTTTTCATATCATTTGCTGTTTATCTGAAGTCTCTAATTGCTTTGAGGGTTTTTCTCTTGTTAAGAAACCCACACTTTAGGGGCAGCAGATGGCATAGGGGTTGAAGCACTGGATTCCCCATGGCCAGCCACTGTCCAAGTCCCAGATCTGGTGGCTTACTTTACTTTTCTCTCTCTCTCTCTCTCTCTCTCTCTCTCTGTCCCTCTCTGGTTCTGGTTAAATTAAAATAAATAAATAAAATAAAGTTCAATAAAAAATAATTCTTTAAAAACAAAGTCATGTTGGGACCAGCAGTTAGCATAATGGCTATGTCACTGGACTCCTATGTTGTCAACCACGGTTCGAGTCCCAGACCTGGTAGCTTAAACTCACATTGGGTGCGTGTGCATGCATACCCAAGATCCTGAGAGGAAAATGGAGGAGAAGGGATTGCGGCATGGCCATCCCCCCTGGGGGGTGATTTCTCACTTTCTATCTCTCTGTCTCTGTCTTTCTGGCAAGTACACGCACCCTGTAGCAAAAACCTCTCCAAAAAAAGAAAAACAAAAACAAAGTCATGTTTGGGCTGGCTTCACGGCTAAGTGGTTTAAGGTAGTGGATCTCATATAACTGACCATGGTTTGAATCCTGGATAGGACAACTTGAAAAATACACCAATGGAGCCAGCAAATGACGTATCAGTTACGTCAGTGGACTCCCACATGGCCGACTGTGGTGCGAGTGCTGGACCCAGTGGCTTCAAACTCATTACAGGTGCGTGTGCGTGTGTGCGCAACATCCTGGGAGGAGAACAGAGAAAGAACTGTGGCATGACCACCCTCCCGGGGGGGGTGATTTCTCGCTTTCTGTCTCTCGATCTCTCTCTGTCTCTCTGGCAAGCGCACATACCCTATAGCAAAATCCTCTCCAAGGAGAGAAACACACATGAGCACATGGATATGTGCCCCAAATACTGACAGGATGGAGAAATGGAGGTGTAGGGATTGTGGTGTGGCCACGTTCCATTGCGGGTGTTTTCTTCTCTTGCTCCATTTCTCTCTGGAGAGGGCACACATGCAATAACAAAAAAACAGTAATGATTATATAAAATTCTATGTTTTTATTATGTTAAAATTTAAACAACATGGAAAAATATAAAGAAGGAAAAAAAAATGGACCAGTCTGTAGCCAGGTGGTTAAGATGGCTGGATCCCATATGGTCAACTGTGAAGTCTGAGTCCCAGACTGGTAGCTTGAAAAATACACCTAAAATCCTCAAAGGAGGGAGAAATTCAGGAGGAAGGATTGCAGCACGACCAATTCCATGTCGCGTGTTCTCAGTTCCTCTCCTCTTTCTCTCTCTTCAGCTAGTGCATGTGCCCTCTGGCCAAAACAAACAAATAAACAAAACACTCCGAGACCTACTATTTTGATTTATCTGTCTCTGTGTGTGCATCATTTAAGTTTATTTATTTCTTCTATAAGAGAGAGATAAAGACAAGCACCCCCAACAAGACCTTTCCACCATAATCCACTCCCAGTCTTATGCAGACTAGATCTTGGGCACATTCATGTATGCCTGCTATACACAGGGAGGTCTCAGGACATGAACCTGGGACCTTCCTATGTGAGTTCAGTTGCATTACTGCTGACCCTGCCCAGTCTCTAGTGTGTTTCAAGTTAGGTAACTTTACTTAGCACACTGTTTCAAAGGTCTGTATTGCAGTATATGCATCTAGTTCATTGTTCCTTGCCGCTGCACAGGCCTTCGCAGTGTTCACCACTATATTGATCGCGTGCAGTTATAAACACTTGAGCTCCCGGATGCAGACCAGATGGGAGGGAGAGACACGGCACTGACCATGGATTGCAGTAGTCTTGTGGGAACTGTGACTAAGGTCCCTCATCCATGTGGATTTTGCAGTAATGTAGATGCATAGCAGACCAAGGTGTGGAAAAGAAAAAACATTAATCAGATGCTGAAGTCCTCAATGAAAATGGACAAGGGTGTTAATTAGACAGTAACAGCAGTTGGGGGAAGGGGGGAAAAGGCTGGGTGGCATGGAATTCTGAGGAAGAGAGTTTCACTTGGGGCAAAATGGTCAACATTTGAAAAACTAGACAGAGCCAGAAGCACACCTCAGCTCCAAGCCCAGGGCGCAGGGAGAAGAACTTGAGCCACCTTCTCTTTCAAGTTCCCTAGGCTTGGAGGGCCAGGCTTCTGCTAAAACAAGACATAGAAGGGGGTCTTCTGTGACAATGAGTGGGGAGGGGAGTTTGTTTGCCTTGGACAGGGCACAGATGGGGCCCGATGACAAGGGCAGCCAGCCCGTGGCAGAGGTAGGATGGAGAACAGGGAGTCTGGGGGACAATCTGCTTGCTCCTTGGATGTTGACTATGAAGACTGAGTGAGGTCTCTGAAGAGACAAGTGATCCAACATTTCTACCAGGAACCTTGATGCCAAGTGTCTCCATGAGGCCCAGGTAGAGCACAGGGGAGGTGGGGGTGGTGTCTGCCACCTCTGCCCAGTTAGTTCTTTGGAAGAAAAGCATTCTTGTGTCTGGGGCAAAAAACAGGCCTGTGTACATGTGTGTACGTGCGTGTCTGTAGCGTGTGTAGGGGTTAGTAGAGGGACTGGTGAGTCTAGCCTGAGCCAGAAAGAACCCAAGGGATGGCAGATGATCCCTAGCTAGAGGAAGTTTTTTTAAAAAAATAATTTAACTTTATTTATTTATTTTAATTTGACCAGAGAGGACAGAGTGTGTGTGAGAGAGGGGCAGAGAGGGAAAGGGAAAAAGCAAGCCGCTAGATCCAGGACTCCAACAGTGATCAGCCATGTGGGAGTCCAGCTTCCTAAGAATTTTTTTTTTTTTTTTTTTTTTTTTAAGGTTTTTGCCTTAGAGCACGCGCACTCTGTCCCTCTCTGTGAGACAGTGAAAGGGAAAGTGGGAACTCACCTCCCAGGGGGGATGGCCATGAGGTAATCCCTTCTCCTCCCGGATCTTGGACACACACGGAAACGTGCTGGGCCTGAGTCTCAAGCCACCAGGTCCAGGACTCAGACCCGGGTCAGCAATGTGGGAGTCCAGCCATGTAACCCCTACGCCATCTACTGGTCCCAGGAGGCTATGGTTTTAAGCGGAGGTGGCCCTGGAGACAAACTCTCGGTGGTGATGGGAAAGAACCGGTTGGAAAGGAGGGCGGTTCCCCCAAATTTAGGAGCCTGCTGCCCACACCCTGGGTCATTCCCCCTTCCCCCCTACCCTCTCCGTTCTGGGCCCAATCCCAGCTCTCCCCACTCAGACAAACCAGCCTTCGGGACCGAGTAGCCGGCTCCGCCGGGATGGGCGCCCTGGCTCAGGACGTCCGCGCGGCGCTCTCCCGCCACAAGCTGGACCACGTGTGGACCGACACGCACTACGTGGGGCTGCAGTTCCCGGACCCGTGAGTGCATGGGGGCGGGGCACGCGAAGGGCCTCCAGCAGAGGCCCTCACCACCCGCACTCCTCAGGACTCGCCCCAATACCCTGCACTGGGTCGATGAGACTGGGAGGCCAGGGGAGCAGTTGCCACTGGAGGACCCCGACGCCTACTGTCCCTTCAGCGCCACCGGCAACGCCACGGTAAGCGCCTTCGCCCACCTAGGAGGGGACCAGCGCGCGCTCTTCCCTGGGTCGCAGAGTGGCGCGGAGGTTCTCCGAGGGCACTCCTCACCTTCCTCCTCAAGCACACCTCACCCTCCTCCGCGTCCCCAGGGCGAGCTGGTGTACGCCCACTACGGGCGACCTGAGGACCTGCAGAACCTACGGGCCAGGGGTGTGGAACCGGCTGGCCGCCTCCTGCTGGTGCGCGTGGGGGTGACAAATTTTGCTCAGAAGGTGAGGGTTCCTGGATCTGGGAAGGATGCGGCATGGGGGGTTGGGCTGCCCACTGGGAAGCGTCTAGAAAGCTGTCAGAGGGAGAAAGAAAAGAATCAAGTGGATGGGGGGGATGTTGGTAGGAAATCAACTAGGGTAGGGAACAGAAACACTGGGAGGCTGGCAGTGGGGTCTGAGGACTGCCAAAGTGCTGCCTGAGGGCGCTAGGGCAAGGGCCAGCTGGTCCCCACACCCAGCCTCTCTGCAGGATGGACAGTCACAGGTCAAAAGCTTACCATTTCACTTTTCCTCCCTCCTCCTTATGAATCATTCTCTTGGGAGGAGTCCTGTAGCCACCTCCTTCCCCCAGGTAGCCAGTGCCCAGGACTTTGGGGCCCTAGGAGTGCTCATATACCCTGACCCAGCAGACTTCTCCCAGGATCCACACAAAGCAGGCTTGTCCAGCCACCGGGCGGTGTATGGACACGTGAGTCTGAAGGAGGCCAGCAGTGTCTTCTTTACCTCCTTGCTGGGAATGGGATGGTACACTATTTCTGGAAGCCTAGCCCACAGTTTCATGGGCACTCCTTTCTCCACAGGTACACCTGGGAACTGGGGACCCCTATACGCCTGGCTTCCCTTCCTTCAATCAAACCCAGTTCCCTCCAGTTGAATCCTCAGGCCTGCCCAGCATTCCAGCCCAGCCCATCAGTGCAGACATTGCCTCCTGCCTGCTGAGGTGAGGGGCATGTGGGGGACTGAGAGAGGAGGAGGCATAGAGAGGGAGACTGCACAGTTAGTCCATAGGGTGTCCTTTCTTCTGGGCAGACTCTGCCTCTTTCCAGCGCTCACTGCTCAGTGATTGGAGTTCTAGTTGGATTTCACAGCCACCTCTGCTGGGCACGCCTGAGCAGGACACAACTTGCACAGCTATCCAAGGCAGGTCTTAGGAGAGAGAGAAAGGCATTGGGCTCTTCTGTAGTGTGGACCTCTGCCACTTTTAACCTTTTCTGCCTTACTCCTCTTCAGGAAGCTCAAAGGTCCTGTGGCCCCCCAGGAATGGCAGGGGCATCTCCCAGACTCCCCTTATTACCTGGGCCCTGGGCCAGGCCTGCACCTTCAGGTCAACAACCACAGAGTCTCCACCCCCATCAGCAACATCTTCGGCTGCATCGAGGGCTTCTCAGAGCCAGGTGTGCTTGCTTGCTCAGCATCACCCACAACTTGCTGGAGGGGAGCCTCTGCTCATAACCCTGGCCAGAAATGGGGCTGGTACAGAAGGCTCTCAGAGAGGAGACAGGAAGGGTACCAGGGGAGGGAGGCTGGCAACTTCAGGCTGAACTGGAACGAATAGGGGTGACAGTGAAGGGACCGCATGCTCCAGCCTGTCCAAGGATGGAAGGAACAGCGTTGCACCCTAGTAAGTTGTCCAGCACCAGAAGGGTGAGCAATCATAAATTGGACAACATTGTAACAGAGAGTCAAGCCTGAAAGAGAGGTCAGACTAGACTGATGACCCTTTCAAGCATAACTAGATGTGACTGGCAATGAGGAATCAAAGAATTAGAGAGCGGGACATGAGAGGACTTCGGGAAGAGTGTGGTACTGACAAATGCCCAGATAAGCGCATAGGGAGAGGCACAGGGAGACCTGTGGGTGAGGCTTAGATGAGAATGTCGAGGGCAGGGAGGGGTGAGACAGTGAGGGGGAGCTGGAGAGAGATTTAAATGGAAAACCTATCAGGACTGGGTGACCAGTGGGACATGGCTGACCTATGAGGGAATAAAGTCCAGAATGACCCTGGGTGCCATACTAAAGGAGTAGGCCATCTAGGGAGGATCAAGGGGAGAAGAGCACTCTCTTTGTGGACAGTGAGGATTGCAGGGCTGGGGTAGCAGACTTTGGGTACTGTCAGTTTAAGAGGTATACCCTACACATCTCCTCCCCAGATCACTATGTTGTCATCGGGGCCCAGAGAGATGCATGGGGCCCAGGAGCAGCCAAGTCTGCCGTGGGGACTGCCATATTGCTGGAGCTGGTGCGGACCTTTTCCTCCATGGTGACCAATGGTAAGCTCAGGGCCTGGGCCTGGGCCTGGGCCCAGCGGGGTTGAAGCTGTGGTCTGAGCCAGAACTGGGGTGGGGAGGCAGTCAGGGACACAAACTGGTGAGGGGTCACTCAGATCTGGGCCCCAAACCTGGCTCCTCCACCTCCTGGCGCTGGGCAAGTTATGTCACTTTTATTTCCTCATCCAAAAATTAAAGTAGTTGGGCTGGCCCTGAAGCCTAGCAGTTAAGGGAGCGGGATCCCACATGACTGACCATGGTTCTTGTCTGACCTAGCCCTCATGGCTTGAAACTCATGCTGAGCATGTGTGCATGGTTGCCCCAAATCCCAGTAGGATAGAGAAATGGAAGAGAAGGTATTGCAGCTGCCCCATCAGGGTTACTTTCTTTCCATCATCTCTCTGGTGAGCACACAGAAGCCCTCTGGAAATGAGAAAAAAGATAAAAATGAAAGTAATTCTAGACCATGGATCCGAGTGAAGATTAAACAAGAGATACCACATGCAAAGCCATCTGTTTCACTATTAGTTGAGTCTGGGCAGACCCAGGGTGAGATGCCCTGGGCTAAGGGTTGGAGTAGAGGCAAGGAGAGGCCCAGGGACTAGGACAGAGTCCATCCACCTTCCCCTCTGTGTCCCCAGGCTTCCGACCCCGCAGAAGTCTTCTCTTCATCAGCTGGGATGGAGGCGACTTTGGGAGTGTGGGCTCCATGGAGTGGCTGGAGGTGATGGGGGCCTGGGCAGGAAGGCAGGCACTGGGGAGAGGTGTATGTTCCTACTCCTCACTCTCCACTTTCCCCAGGGCTACCTCAGTGTGCTGCACCTCAAAGCTGTGGTCTATGTGAGCCTGGACAACGCAGTGCTGGGTAAGCCGAGGCGATAGCACCACCTGGCCCCTCAGGTACACCCTGCTCTTGGGGCTGAGCTCTGAGCCTGGCATTCTTCCCTTTCCCCCTCTTCAGGGGATGACAAGTTCCATGCCAAGACGAGTCCCCTTCTGATTAGCCTCATTGAGAACATCCTGAAACAGGCAAGAGCCCCACCAGGACTAGGGAATGAAGGGAAGCTGTGGGGGGGGGGGGGGGGCCTGACGGTGGGGCCC